AATAATTTAATATTAACTTTAAATAATAATATTTATTTTAAAATTTTTTAAAAGTTTTTAAAAATTTAGAATTATATGTAATTTATTATATTAAACAAAATAACTATATATAGTTTATTTAATAAAAAATTTTTTAATATATAGTAATTATAATAACTAATTTTTTAAAATTACTAATTTTATACAAGTGTAACATTATACAAAATTGTATAACCTTAATTAACTTAAATACTACTGTATAGAATTTTACAAACTTTTTTTATTTAAAAATTTGAGATTTAAATAATAATTTGTATAATTTTTAAATTTATATCTTATTTATTTAGCTCAATATTAAATTTTAAAAAGTGTCTATAATAATATGTAGACCACTGTATTTAATTCTGTAAATATGTAAAATAATTTTAAAAAAAATTATCAATTGGATGGGTAGTTGTTGAGAATGTTTTAGAAAAAATTAGCAGCTTTTTTTATAGGTTTTAAACTTTGAAAGAAGATTACTTGGTATTCAACTGATAAAATTTAATCAAATTTTTTTTATTTTAATTCTATATGTTTCTAAAAACAATTAAAAAAATTTGATTGAATTTGACTTAGTGAGTGCCAAGTAATCTTCATTCAAAGTTTAGACACCTATAAAAAAGAATCTACAAATTTTTTTAGTGAAGATTTTTCAATAACCACTTATTTAATTTTAATAATTTTTTTATTTTAATTCTATAAATTCATAGAATAAAATAAAGCAATTTAACCAAATTTGAATCAATATTTGTTGATAAATCTTTAGGTTACTTTAGGTCGAAAGAGATGTGTTAGATTTGGTCGAGTGGTTTAGTTTAGTTTGGGACAGAACCGAAGTTTAACACTTGTTGAGGCAGGGTTCATAACGAAGGTGTATCTTTGTATCTTAAATGTTAGGTTTGATTTACAAAGCATAGAAGCGTATAATTTTTATTAAGAGTAATTAATCAGATTTACAAAGTGTATGGTTTTATTAATAATGATAGTATGATATACGGAAGTAATTGTATGATAGAAATGATTTAATAAAGCAAAGGTGGGAGTTCTTCTTCCCAAGGGCCGAAAAGGCCTTTATTTATAATTGATAATTCTATTATTTACATTCCCAGGAATCTCCCATATCCCAAATATCATCAATAAACCCATTATCAGCCTTATAGTCCATATCTTTAAGATCCGCCATTTCACCCAAATAATCCTGATCCTCCAGATCTGGCGGTTCGACATATCCGGGATATCCGGCAGATCCGGCAGATCTGGACGGGAAGATTTACCGGGTCACGTAGTCACGTGCCTACCGTCGGGTCACGTTTCCGGTCTCACAGTAGGAATCACTCAACTTTGCAATTATTGAAATCCTTTCATTAGTTTCGACATTTTGTCATTTAAAATTTTAATTGACGAAAGACGAAACTAGGTTTTACGTTGTAAAAGGGCGGATTTGGGGTGACTAGTACTTACAACCTAAAATACAACAAAATCAAAGGCTACTCGTAGAAGATTTGGTCCGAGAGCCAAGAATCCTACTGCCACTAGGATCTCTGGAGTTTATTATTAGATGGTCTTTATTATTAAAACACTTCACTACTTTATAGATACATGAATCGAAGGTTATTTATACATTACAGAGGCCTTTGGGGCTTTGCTACTACGATTATAATCTTCTAAAAATAAGACTATTTAGAGTATAGTTCCAATCCGGATGAATCCGTCATCCGTTTATCCGTATCTAATTATTCGGATAATTTAAATCGCTCAGATATCTGGATAATCTGACAGTTATTCGAATAAATATCGGATATCAATAGTAACGTATATAAAACGGATATCCGAATAAATTCAGATCCGGATATCCGATGGATAAATAGATAAACGGATAATAGATAGGAACACTAATTTAGAGTATCGAGGGCTATGACTAACGATGAATAATTTATACTCATTACATGACTATGATTTTAGTTTCCACCATAGAGGCGCCTTACTATTGTTCTTCAATGGAGCTTCTCCTCAAACCAAACCCAAATTGGCATTTATTAAATTCCTTCGCTTTTGTCGATCAATGCGCATTAAATTCCCGATTCTTACGGCTTAGATCACGTTTTTTTACTGCGGCTGGTCACGTTACTCTTCACAACATTTCGTCAGCGCGAAACCTTGAAGTTTCGTCCAAAAGCTACACGTCTGTTATTCACTGTATTTTGAAAGCACTCTAAAATAAACAAATAAAGTCAAACCCCCTATTAAGTGGTTTTCGCATTATATCCACCCACAACAATCACCGTAACTATCAATAATCTACTATGGAAATCGCATTATTTAATGATATATTGTTAGAGAATGTGCCAATAGTCATTCCATAATAAAAGCAAAGTACAGCATAAAACCCGCTATACCATATCTCATAAGTATAGCGATCCTCTCTTTGGTCCCTATATTTAATCAATCTAACACATGTCCACGCTATTACAGCAAAAAGAATAATTTCGATAATAGTGAATTCTGATGGAACAGATGTGTTGAGCTTTTTGACACCAGGCAATATCAAAAAATAATTCGCAGAACCATATAAGAAAAATGCGGACAGGACAAATGCTATAGCAGTTAACCGCCTACAAATGTTATCACCAATAAGAAGGGGTAATGTTTTACGACCAATAAGAGCGTCGCCTTTCTGATCCCGAAGATCTTGGACTTGAAGGGTGAAGAACACAAATATAACAACCGAAAGTTTAAATGGGCACGGTTCACAGCCCCACCATTTAGATACTTTAAACTCAGTACCAGTTATAAGATTACTGGTAACGACAAACATAATCCATGCACCAAAAGCCGAAAAGAAATTCTTGCAGAGAGCATTGACACTAAGGTTGAGAAGCTTATAAGTGACAAACCACATTTGCCAAAGAAAAGCGCTGATAAGTAAAGGCAAACCACCGATGAGATAAGATACAATTGGAAATATTATGTTAAATGCGATTAACCGGCGTCGTGCACCTTCAACTGTGACGAGACCGGATGGAATGGGACGAAAGGGTTTGTTAAGTTTGTCTTCTTCCACATCATCAAATTGATTTAGCCTGTAAAATAAAGATCATAATTAAAATGAGATATTGCAGACTTTTTTTATAATATCAATGTATATAGAATGCTTACCAATTGAAGGAGATGAGAAAACTTGAGAAGTATATAGCGACTTTAAATAAGCGTGGAAATAAGATTTTTTTTATAATATCGAAGGGTGAGAAATAATAAGGTGATATCACAACCGAACTAAAAAATTGCATGTAAAATGCACCTAATAATGACAAAGAACTAATATTAATATCACAGATTAAAATTCATTAAACAGAAGCAATAAAATTATCAACTTACCAACTGTCATAAGTAGCGGAGGAATTATAGCAGTCGACCAGTCAGTGATTGATACGAGGAAATTGATAAGAGCCTCTTTATGAATTGCTTTTAAGATATTGTTTATAGAGTTAAATTTATGTGAGAAGTTTGCTTCATATTCCATATTTGCTAAATAATTATTTTGTTTTGCTTTGATTTATTGTAGTAAAGCGAATTCCATAGTTTATATAGCAGTTTCAGTAATAACAATAACAACGTGATATTTGTTTTTGCGTCACATTCATTCCATAACTTAAATTCTTCAAATAAAGGTACATATTAATGAATAAAAAGAAAATTAGAAATGTTTCAAAGGCACTCTTTTTGTTCGAGTGTACCCTAAGAAATTACAAAGTTCCCATGCCTTAAGCTTTAGTTATAAGACATACTATACTATATTTGTAGTGACTTTTCTTTTTAAAGAGAATTTTTTTTTTTGAATAATTTCGGAAAATAATTTTTTCGCATTTGATCTAATCTACTTCCTATTTAGTACTTGAAAATTATTGTATATAATAGCTTGTGGTACGAAATATAAACCTATTTTGGCGTTCAAGAATGAACTTTTTTTGACTGTACGTACGTTGGTGAACATAATTTGCTGTTTATTCATTGTAGCAATAATTTTCTTTTAAAAAATGATTTATTCCAAATATTGTGTAATAAAAGCAATCAAATGTTTTTATTCTTGGCATGCAAGATTTTTTATTGTTTTTATGCAAGGCATGCAAGATTTGATTAGCACGTACGTACGTACGTACACACTTTACATGCATGAAATCTAAATATTATAAAAGACAATAATATAAATTGACATCAAACATATTTCCTGATTTGCTAGATTTTGTTATTCTAAAATGATATTCATGATTTTCGCGGTGATATTTTTAAAATAAATAAATATCATCACAGAAAGACCCTGAAATACACATAATTAATTGACTATATCAGGAATAACGTAAAAAAGATTTCTTTAATTATTGGCTCCAGTAATATATTTATCTCTATATGTTATAATTTATGTTTTTAAATTCATGCGTCATTTGTAATACAATTAAGGCCGGATAGATTTTATATTCATCTACTAATGTCCATTTGGTCAATATTTATGTAACATATTTTAGACAGTTGCACAAAATTTCGATTCTACTTTCACATTTCGTCACATCACATGAAATTATGCAATTACGTTATTTGTATACCGGTACTAAACAAATTAGCCTAACCCTAACACTAACCCAACATAGGCCGAACACTTAATCATGTGATGTGATTATCGTGAAGATATCGCTGGGTACTTGATCTTCAATCTTCCCCACATTTCTTGGTTATAGTAATTATATGCATAACCACATTCATCACGGTCTGTTCTTTTAATGCTGAAGTACAGACGTAAGGACATGCCCTGAAATTTGATATATGTAAAAATATAAAATACGGTTCTATCAAGCTTTAGACGATTCCAAGATAACAATAGGTAAATCTTATGCTGCATGATTCTGAATTTAATACGCTTTCATTTTACAATTTATACTATTTCTTTCAATTGGTTAACTTTTATTCTTATTTATGTTTCATTAACTTTCTTTACTAATCTAAATTTAACATATACTCTTTGTAAACCAAGTAAATTTAGTCCAATTCTGATTAATAAAATTTTAATATAAACTATTATATACAAAATTAAAATAATTATACTAAAAATACTGATAAAAAAAAAAATTAGAAACGTATTAATCTTACTAATATGAATTTACATTGTGTAAATGATAAATTTGATTCAAACAATAATACGTGTTATATAATTTATCCAATCTATTTATTGTTAGTAGAGTTTCATTGAAATAAATCATAATTGTTTTATTCACAAATACAATGCTATTAAATGACGTACGCACATACGGTACATCTAATAAGGATGTGATGAATGTAATATCGATATAAATTTCATTATTTAAAAACCAGGAAGTTTAATTTGTCTTAATTTAGACTAGTGCTCCAATCCATTATCCGTTTATCCATTTATCTATCGGATATCCAGATTTGAATATATTCGGATATCCGTTTTACTATTGATATCCGGATAATTATCCGAATATTTGTCGGATTATATGGATTTCAATAGTAAATGGATATCCGGATAAATTCAGATATGGGTAATGGACTAGGAAAACCACTTTTTAATAAATTTTGAGATTTTTAATTCAAATTAAAGTACTGGCTTATATCTATTAGTATTTCACTTTTTACCCTACATTGATATAATAATTTATCGAGATAATTTAACTTGAATGTAAACCAATTTTTTTACGTTCGTGTTCTAAAAATAGATTGACAGTCAAAGATCGACATTCAATTAAATTAGATTGGTCAATTGATGGGGTACAATTTAGGGCGTATACTTATTTGTGCAAGTGATACAAGAAATTAGCCAATCGGAGAACGTAAAATATGATGATCACGGATCAGCCCGACACATGAGCAAAGCGAAAAAACACAAAAAAAAACGAAAAAGAGAAAATACTCAAAAACTAGTGTTTAAATCGACCTTGTTGG